CAAAAATACCACTAACAATTAATATTAGTGTCCAAAGACTCAATATTGATGGTGCATTAGGTATCTTGAGATGGGGTATGTTATTATTTGAAAAAATTGATAATTCATTTTTCTTTTATGTGAATTTATTTAAAATGTTTAATTTTGCTCTTGGTTTTTCAACTACAATTGCTTCAATACCTGCTAATCTGAATTCAGTTCTGGTCCTTACTGAGGAAAATCATATGAATCATGGTTTGGTAATCTCTGAGATCAATTTGGCTTTAGTACCTAGAAACACTTGGTGGTTAGACTCTGGTGTAACTACTAACATCAGTGTTTCAATACAGGGTGAACTACTGAAAGCAAAATGATGTAGAAAGATACATCTATGTGAGATATGGGCAAGTTGGTGGAGGTGGAAGCTATAGGATATTTTAGATTAATAATGTGTACCAGATTTTATTTGGATTTGAAAGACACTTTTGTTGTTCCGTCATTTAGATAGAATTTAGTTTCAGTTTCTTATTTGAACAAATCAGGTTATTTTTGTTCATTGGAAATAATACGTTCAAGTTGTCTTTCAATTCAGATATTGTTTGGAACTGGTTCACTTATGGGTCATGATAATCTATATTTGCTTGAAAACAATAGTTTCCTATGACGAATCCTTGAATATGGAATCACGTGGTACTAATTGTAAAATTGATGATAACAATTCAGGAGCATTATGGCACAAACGCCTAGGTCACATCTCTAAAAATAGAGTTGAGCGGAAAATGTCATATGGAATATTAGATTCCATTGACTTCTCAAACTTTGATGCTTATGTTGAATGCATTAAAAGGCAAACAAACCAAAAACAAAGAATATGGTGCACATAGAGCTACAAATGTCATATAATTGATACATACGGATATTTGTGGACCATTTCTTACACCTTCTTGGAATGGTCAACAATATTTATATCATTCATAGATGATTATTCTAGATATGCATACATATTTCTCATCTATGAAAAGTCTCAATCATTGGATGTGTTCAAATCATTTAATGCTGAAGTTGACAATCAACTCAACAAAAGAATTAAGAAAGTCAAATCTGACTGTGGCGGTGAATATTACGGTAGATATGACGGTTCAAGTGAACAACGTCTAGGGCCTGTTTGCCAAATACCAAGAGGAATGTGGAATCATCCCACAGAACACCATGCCAGGATCTCCTAGCATGAACGATGTTGTTGAAAAGAAGAAACCAGACTCTTAAAGATACGGTAAGGAGTATGGTTTGTCATTCTACCTTGCCATAGTCACCATAGAGAGAAACACTAAAGATTGCAGCTTACATTCTAAATAGAGTACCAACAAAAGCAGCTTCCAAAACACCTTACGAGCTTTAGATTGGGCGAAATCCTAGTTTAAAAACATTTTCACGTGTGGGGATGTCCAGCTGAGGCAAGGCCTTATAGGCCAAATGAAAAGAAATCAGACTCTCGAAACAGTGAGCAGTTACTTTATTGGTTATTATGAGATATCTAGGGGCTACAAATTTTCTATGATCTCAAATTAAATTCAATTTTTTGAGACAAGAACAACCCACATTCTTTGAAAAATATTGAGTTTGGGGAGAAGAATAAGTATGGAACCTCCACGAGACATTATTTATTTTCATCCTACTCAAGATGATTTGGTAATTCATGAATAACAAACTAAAAATCCTCAAGAACGGGTGTTACAAGAACCAATACCTTTGGGGAAATCCATTAGAGAAAGGAGAAATGCTATTCCGGATGATTACATAGTCTTTCTCCAAGAACAAGAGGAAAATAATGGTATGATGGAAGATGATATAATCAACTTTCGTCAAGTCATGCAGGATTCCAACGCAGAAAAGTGGATTGGAGCAATGAAGGAGGAGTATAAGTCCATGCAAGACAATAAAATTTGGGAACTTGTCCCATTACCAGAAGGTGTGAAACCCATTGGTTGTAAATGGATTTTTAAGACCAAGCGGGATTCTAACGGTAATGTGGAGAGGTATAAATCTTGTCTTGTGGCTAAGAGTTATACCCAAAAGGAAGGGATTGACTTTAAAGAGACTTTCTCTCCGGTTTCATGAAAAAATATTTTAGGATAATAATGGCTCTTGTTGCACATTATGATTTAGAGCTTCATCAAATGAATGTCAAGACAATATTCCTCAATGGCAAACATTGATGAAACGATCTATATGGTGTAACCAGAAAACTTTGTGTCAGTAGACTCAAAGAATATGGTTTGCAAACTGACAAAATTCCATTTATGGACTAAAGCAGGTGTCTTGTCAGTGGTACCTACAAAGTTTCATGAAGTAATTATCTCATTTGATTTTGAGGTGAATGTTGTTGAAGATTGTGTATATCACAAATTATGTGGGAGAAAGTACATTTTCCTTGTTTTGTATGTCGATGACACACCACTTGCCGCTAATGATATATGCATGATGCATGAAACTAAGAAATTTCTGTAAAGAAAATTCGAAATGAAAGATCTTGGTGATGCCTCATTTGTATTAGGAATTTAGATACACAGAGAACGATCTCAGGATCTTCTAGGATTATCACAAAGTAGCTATATTGAAAAATTACTTAAAAGGTTTGGCATGCAGAAATGTAAACCATGGGATACCCCAATTACTAAGGGAGACAAATTTAGTTTTAATCAGTTTCCAAAAGGAAACTTAGAATTTCAAGAAATGCGAAAGATTCCTTATGAATCAGTAGTAAGAAGTCTGATGTATGCCCAAGTATATACACGTCCGGATATTGCGTTCATAGTTGGAATGTTAGGCACATATTTGAGCAATCTAGGAATAGATCATTGGAAAGAAGCCAAAAAAGTTATAAGGTATTTAAATAGAACAAAAGACTATATGCTCACATATAGGAGGTCAAACCCATTAGATACCACTGGATACTCTGACTCAGATTTTACTAGATGCCAAGATAGCAAAAGATCCACTTCAGGCTATATATATATATATATATATATATATGTTGGCTGGTGGTGCAGTTTCTTGGCGCAGTGCCAAATAAACTCTTACAGCTTCATCCACCCTGACAACAAAGTTTATAGCATATTATGAGGCATCAAACCATGAGATTTCGCTGAGGAATCTTGTCATTGGACTGCGAATTATGGAAGGAATTGAAAGGACACTTAAGTTATACTGTGACAATAAATCAGGTGTATTATATTACAACAATAATAGAAGCTCGACCAAGTCAAAACATATTGACATCAAGTTCCTAGTTGTTAAGGAAATGGTACAAAGTGGACAGATTTCTATAGAACACTTGGGGACAATCTCTATGATAGCAGATCCTCTTATAAAAGGTCTTTCACCCAAGGTCTTTTATGAGCACACTGCCCGCATGAGTATTTTTACCGTTAGAAGAGTCTTTGGTTTAGTAGGAGTTAGTCAATTATGAATTTTATGTTCTATATTTTGGTATTATGTATGCATACTATGTTTTTTTTTTAATATTTTCCAAATTAATAAAGTTTGATATTCAGTAGTTTATGTTTTGTACAATGAAGTTTTTGAATGATCTCACTAAAGTAAAGTAGGACCAATTAAAAATCGACATATACACACCAACTTCGTGTGATTTTCATGCTTCACATTTCCTAATAGATTTATGTCATTTAGTTGTGTCACTATTGAAGATAATTGATGAGTTTAGTTATAATTGATATAACAAAAATCACCTTGATTATGTATATTAGCAATGACTAATAGACGAGATAATTTAGATATGCTTAAGGAATATAACGACGAGTTTTGAGATTATAAAGTCTAACACATGTGTATGATTACATATGTGACCAGTGGGAGATTGTTAGAATATTTGAATCACAATTGTAATATTACATGTGTTAGGGCTATTATGTAATTAGCCAAAGCTGTAGTGGTCTAATTAATAATAAGTTTGTCGCTAAAAGTATAAATATCATGAAATGTAATATTATTGTGTAGATATCATAAGCCAATATATAATTTGAACATGTAGTAAATTAGAATATTAAAAACTAAGAAATAACCCTAAGGTTATTTATAGGGATTACGGTCCATATTTGTAGACAATGTAAAATGACTTATAAGGAATTCTTTTTTAATCTCCATCAGAAGAGAATCAGAGAACTATAAGGAAATCTATAAATCGGAAGATCAAATATCCATAAAGTTTCGGTGATTCTCAATGACAAATTCAAATACGCTTCCACTTTCATTCTCATAATTGTATTTGGATATGAGTTTAAGAAATTTATTTAGAGTTCTATTCTTAATTTATATATTGATAGAAATTATAAGATTATGAACATATCTAACAAATTATATTTATAAAACTTTATAAATCATTTTATTATTACAATTCTATTATTAATAATTTATACAATCATATTTCAATTCATTTATTCTTTTTCTTTTTTTTCATTAATAATATTTTAATATTTTCTAATTTATATAAATTTTTATAATAAATTTGTGACAATTTGGCAGTTTATAACTGTAGCCTGACGCACGAATCTCTCGTTAATGGTGTATTAAGAAGTTATCAAAAATTTCTATTCAAAGTCCTCACCACGTTCTAAACATTATCATCCAAAAGCCACCAATCCAAGCATCAAATTTTCTATACCAATTCCTAGCCATGAAAAACCATCATTCTATTTATATAAAAAACCGAACCCATCATAAAAATTATACAAATATCACATCAAAATTTTCTTATTTTACCATTCTACCCTTTTAAGAACCTTCCACGAATATGCTACGCAAGTTCACTCCAACGTAAGACGTGTCTGTCTCTGACCAAGCAAATTTGTTTCCATAGCTGTCTTCAATGATTCTATCTCTCCTTCTCGGAAAAAACACTTCACATTCCTCATTCTTTCCTCTTCGCATTCATATATACACATCTTCATTCTCATTCATCATCATTCACAATTATTCATAACCCAAAATCTCTTTCTTTTTCAATGGCTTCACAAAACACTCAACTTCAATTCCAAGACTCACTACCTTTGATGGCAAACAAGCTAGGTGGAGACGGGTTAATAGACGAGCTTTGCAATGGGTTCAATCTCTTGATGGATTCTAGTAAAGGAGTTATCACCTTTGAAAGCCTTAAGAGGAATTCATCTTTGTTTGGATTACAAGATTTAAGCGATGAGGATCTGAGAAACATGATTGTGGAAGGTGATTTTGATGGTGATGGTGCTCTTAGTCAGTTGGAGTTTTGTGTCTTGATGTTTAGACTTAGTCCTGAACTCATGGATGGCTCTAAATTATGGTTGGAACAAATGCTTCAACAAGAAATTAAAGATTTTTTCTAATTTTTTAGTTTTGTTTTAGGGGAATTTTAACATTTGTGTAAACAAGATTAAAGAGAAATGTTTATTGATATGGAAATGGAAGAAGTGATTCATCTGATTTTTGTTACTTGAGTTGTGTATTCTTATGTTCAATTCGATTACTATGATCAAATGTTTAACCATGCCTCAAAAATCTAACTAATCTAAAATATTGTTGATTTGGTGAACCATCAAGAAGTAGAAATGTTGGGAGCTATAAGTAAGGCTCTATAACTATCTATAAAACTATGATCAAAGGCAAACTTCACCCCATTTCAGAATACCCCGCAATTCGGCCATTATAATAGAACAAAAACCTAGAAATAATGCATATCCAAAAGAGAAATTTCTTAAATCTGCAATTGGTATATTGCTTATAAATAAATGAAGGATGCATTACCAATTGGAAGTATCAAATACTTAGAGTTTGAAGGACTACCTGAGAGACATAGGGTGGTTGAATGCTTCTAAGGATTTTCAAGAAGAAGGAGGTATTCCATGAATTGAAGAACTAAGGTAAAACAAGACTTGTAGTAAAAAGTTTTATCTAAGTGCGGGAAGTTGATTACTATGGAATCTTTTCATTCATGTTATAACATTGTTCTATAAGGATAATCATGGCAAATCTCAATCAAAATAATCTTGAGTTTGAATATATGAATATGTAAAAACCCCTTTCTTACATGAAGATCTTGAAAAGAGAATCTATAGGAGCAACACGAAGGTTTTGAAGAAGAAAACTTTAATGTGTGTCTTTTAAAGAAATTTTTGTATGAATTTGTTTATTGATATTTTTAATAAATAATCACGAGTTTTGTTCATTTTAGAGATTAAGATCGAAAAAATCTTAAGGATAATTTGTGCAGAAAAATACAACAAAAAGTGTTTGCTATTGTGATTTTAATGTTTGGATAATGATAAATTGGACATAAACTCTAATTACAATAAACTTTGGATAAAGATAATAGAGAAAAAAAATGTAATAAATGACATTAGGGTAAAATGTTTCAATTAAAGAAACTTAGAAAAGTAAAAGACAAGACGTTGTTTACTTGTAAACTTGGTAAACAAAGACAAGTTTGATTTCACTTAAGAGATTAAATTCGTGAAAAGCACAAGACAGGTTGTGCAAAAATTTGTAAATTTGAACACATTTGACGTTAGAGTCGAAATGACAAAGAAACTATGAAAATAACTTTTAATGCAGTAAATGACTGGAAAGTAAGAAACTTAATTCATAAAATAGAACTTAAGTACATACATTTTCAGATATTTTTCTCTCTCTAACAATTGGATACTTTGAGTATGTAGAATTTATGTGAAATTGCGGACCCCTAAAGCTATAAAAAAACATTGCTTATATACTAGTCCTAATATAATCATCTACAACGATCAATTCATCATACTTCACCACGTTCCCAACGCCATGCAACCTTCGTTTCTGCAAGCTTTACACGTGTTCTTGAATAACCGCCTGACCTTATCCATTTCAATCTTGTTCGACTGTGTGTAGTTAGTAATCTGCTGGAAACTCCAATTTTCACTAAGTCCTAAAACTTAAGTATCTTTGGTCTTTAAATTAATGAGAATTCGACCAGGGTTAGCATCACCCCTCGACAGGATGAATCACCTCGTTAGATCTTATGTTCGAGACTGACCATTTCGACCGAAGATAATAACAATTTTCAAAATTGTTTCTACTTCAAATCTAAAACTTGTGTCGAAAATCCGAGGTAACAGACGTATACTCATACATTATCTCACAAACTGTTTTTCTCTATGACTTGGATACTTTAGTTCTATAGAGAATACTTGATGAATTTTGCGACCCTCGACTTTAATAATGAGATCGATTTATATACTAATGCAATGTTAACCGTCAATAACAATTATCTCTACAAAATATGACATGTATCCCTTATGCAGGCTTCACCTTCTAGCTTACTTACACGCCTCTTTAATGATTAAACTACTGCAAACCAGCTATCTTCCTGATAACTGCCTCTGAAACCCCCTAATTTATCATACCTGAAGTCTTTGATTTAGCTCTATAGTATTTTCGAGACATCCTTGGTTTGACTGGCTCTTAGACTAAAATATGCTAAGTCTTCAACATCTGATGAATGCGTCGAATTTGACACTTTTTCGAAGGATTTATACAAACCTTTTCGAGACTATGGACTATTTTCAAGAGAGAGTGATCCTAATCTTATAGATTTGTTCTCGAGACTCTTCCAAATTAAGCCTAGAACATTAGTCAAACCTTCTTAGTCGGCGTGACTAATGTGTCGACAATTACGCTTACTCATACTTAGTCATTTTCAAACGCGGTCTCTATCGTTCCCTGTCGAATCCATTAGCCGGAATTTCCAAGCTATCAAATGTCCCCAAAAATGGAATTTTTGATCATATATATAAGATGGAAGAAAGGTGGTGTTTTTAGTAAATGCTCGACACTGTTCAAGATATTCTGCATACGTCATAATCATCATGACCATTTTCCCCAAATCGTCACGTCAAGAACATGCGTGCAGATTGTGATCATCACTTTGATTTCCTAGGACAATCATGGGCCACCAAATTAAATTATATTATACGAGATCATTAAATTTAATTTTTTGGTCAAAAATTAAATGTCATCTGTCGATTCCAAGATGCCACTTGTCCAAATTCCTTTAGAGGGAAATTGAAAAGTTTCCTCTTTGTGGCTATATGTACACCTCTATTATCTAATATTTTTGACACCACATGGATGTAAGAATTAAAGATAATCTTACGGCCATAATAAAACCGACTTGATGTGCACTCCAGTCGAGTAGATCATATTCGACCATATAACTGGGATATTTGGTCGAAAGGAAAATATTAACAAGGTTTTAATCGAAGGCGAGATAGTTTCAAGTTTTAAAGACTTAGCGAAATTTGGAGAATTTTTTAGTTTTGATGTTATTACTATTGATGCAAGTTTGTCGAAGTAAGATGCAAACTGATAATATCATACAATTACTAGAGAATTATAAGAGACGAAAGTTGCATGGAAACGAAGATTTGTCGGATATTGCTTAGTCGGCAGTTGGTGACAGTTACGTTAGAACTAGTATATAAGTAGTTCATGTTTGTAAGATTAGAGATCTGTAATTTTTCTCAAGTTCTATACTCAAAGTATCCGAGTGTTAAGAGAAAAAAAGTGATTGGAATTAATGTATTTATTTGTATTCCATTTATAAATTTCAGTTTCCTTTACTTTTCATTGATTTTTCATTTACTGCATTCAATTTTCAATATCTCTCATTTCGACATTCAATGTCAAATCTGTTTCAAACTTATGATTTTTGCACAATTTGTCTAAGGATCTTTTCGATTTTAATACCTTAAGTGAAATCGAAATTTTCTTTGTTTACTAAAATTTCCAGTAAAAAAATTGGCACGCCCAATGGGACCTTTGTGCACAAATTTTCATTTTTTTCAAATAAGTCTGCATATAAGTTCTTCATTTATGAAACTTCTCAAGGTCTTACGTGTGTATGAGATTGAGGAGTCGTAGGATAACCAAAAAATATGTTAGAAAACCAACTAAGAGATACGTTAGAATGGTTAATCAAGAAATAAAAATACCAATGGAGAACAACCATTCAATACTACAGGTGGAAGCACGGTTTCTGCGACTTCAACTAAAGCAAATGCCTTACGACGAGCACGACAACCATACAATCGATTACATAAAAAGGGGTAATAATTTCCCCGTCAATAATGTATGGTCTCCTTACATCTCAGAGACCAACTGTGGAAAGTGATTTTAGGCCTTATGCCCTAAGTTTCACAATGCCTATGTTTAATGGAGAACAACCTTATGGCATGCTGACATCAATGATGAAGGGATTGCAAATGAATGCATCGTCATTTGATGATAATGAAACAACTACATATTTTCCACTATTGGCATCAGGATCAGCTATGAGTAACCCTAGTCGAACCATGCAACCCCAATTACAAGTGAGATTCGCTTCTCAAACGATGCCAACCTTCATCATAAATTTTATGATGGAGATGAGACAACAGATGGATGAAAGAAACCATGAAATGGTCAACCTGCTTACTCGACAATTGGGAACTATATTTAATCCTTTGGTTCAAAATACAAATCATATTTACCAACAATTATAGAATCAAATGACTCGAATCAATGATTTCTTAGGCGCCCCTCAGGCACAAGTTCGATCGATTGTACAATTGTATGCGGCTAGGCCGACTCATAATGAAGGGGTAATCCACGAGGAAAACATTGTAAATCAAGGCCAAAATTTTGTGCCCCAAGTAGTCAAACAACATAGGCCTAGGGAAGTCGAACAAAGAAATTCACCAGTTCTTATTGTTAACCCAAATCAGAACATCGATCAAGTAGTCCATCAAGAAAACCTGGCAAGACAAAACAATATTGCAGCCATGATCGAAAGTATTGTGGCCCAAAATTGGTTGAACATAGGCCTGCATAGTCCAAACTAAGCATCCCATTTGTTGAAGTACATTTTGCAGAAGAAACTCCCAAGGGTTTGGAAAGTCCCTAAGTTCACCAAATCAACTGGTAATACTATTGATTCTACAATTGAACATATCATCTGATATTTCACTAAAGCAGGTGATATAGAAAATAATGAGAATCTAAGGATGAGATATTTTCCTAATTCTCTTACAAAAAATGCCTTTATGTGGTTTACAATACTCCCTGCACACTCCATTTGTAATTTGTCTCAGTTGGAAAGATTATTCCATGAACTAAGATTAGTCTGAAAGAATTGGCAAGTGTGAAGCGAAAGTTTGCTGAGTTGATTTATGATTACCTCAAAAGATTCTGATTGTTGAAAGGAAGGTGCTTTACCCAAGAGCCAGAACACAAACTAGTCGAAATGGATGTTGGGGGCTTAGATTACTCCATCAGAAAGAAATTAGATACCCGATATCTAAGTATATGTCCTAACTAGAGG